GTTATAAGAAAACCATATTTAGAGTATTTGGAACGATCGTACTGAATCACAATATGTTTTCTTTGTGAATTTAAATAATTTTCATTACTCAGAAATAAGTTGTGAAACCTTAACTTGCTCCGACAAAACTGTGCTGGTAAAGTGTGAAGTAGCAAAGCAAGAGTATATAATAGGTAATCATAATGATTTATCTTCTTTCTGTGAACCCCTCAGAGTGCAAGAAAAATGAAAACAGAAGATAGTAATTCTACCATGTGGAAGTGGAATATCCTTAAACTTTATAATAAATTACAGTGTTTCCATAGGTACATGATGTTGTGAATGGTATTAGGCTGATACTGGTATGGTCGTTGACCACTGCATTGTTGTGCTACACATTCATTTTTTGAGTGCCAAGATATCTTCCAATCAAAAGCTAAAGATTAATCACTTTAAGATACGGAAATTCATTTAAGGGGATGATCTCTTGCACCAAATGTTCTTCATTATTCATGATACCAAGATTTTACAAAAGATGAGAAGTGGAGGTTCCTTGTGCCTGATTGATTTAAGGAATTTTTTTGTTTTTATTTTTTATACAAGATACAGTTTTGAGGTTTTCATAGAAAATGGTGAAAGCAACTTTATGGTTGTGGGAGTTAAAATCAGAGTGAAAATAATGTAGCAGTTATTTGTAGAATAAGAAAACAAGAACAGAAGAACATTTTTCAAACTACATGTCCTTATTATATTCTCACACTTTCAAAAAGTGCCAAATGCTAAACCAAATTAATTGATGAAACCACGTGACCATTCTGCATTCTTTGGTACATTATGTTGTACTTTTTTGTTTTGTAGGTCTGCCACGCATCACCATACCTGTGCTTAGCCATGGTAGATGTTCGTGCAGCTTACAACTTCAAATCTAGTTTTTTACTTTTGTATGATTTGCTACTCTATTTTTCTTTTCCTAGAGGGAAAGAAAAGTTAATGCATATAGTTTGTAGAACAGGTGTGAAATCTTTTCGGGTCTCGTGATGAGCATGTTAAGTACTTAACTAGTTTTTATTTACAAATTAATTTTGTCTTGATTATAATATTTTTTTAAGGTTTAAATACATCTCTATTATGATGAACTTTAGTTATCTTAATTACGTTTCAATGATTTATAATTTGAGGGTTATATATATATATATATATATAAAAATATAAACTCATGTTTAAAGCATCACAATGAAAGATGATATCCCAATTAGGTTGGTACACCACTTTCCATAGAATGGGGACTAGGCCAAAATCCGTTTACAGTCAAACAAATCTATATTCTGGTAACACATACCTATTCTTGAAATTATCAAATCAAGACAAATATTAGCACGTAACACAGCATACTATACAAAACCCTCTCTATGAACAAAACCTAAGTTTGCCAATTTATCTATACATTTATGTCCTTCTGTAAAGATGTGTCATGAATTTGCATCTTTCACAACTTCAAACTTTATACCATCTCCCTCCAAGTACCAAAAGATACTATTTTGTTGTCATTAGTGAAAGCAGAAACAATCGAGATAGAACCCGTTTCAATCCTCAACTTACTCCAACCTCTAGTAAAGGCATTTTTAGTGCAAAGCATAGCTACAAGTTCACCATAAAGAGCACTATATGATGAAAATATATGTGTTTCTGGTATAAATGATTCGATGTTCGATTAATCTATAATTCAAGTAAGTAATGATTCATTGAAACATGTGAATTCTTTTAACTGTTTATTTGTATATATGAATTCAACAATGTTAATCATTCAACAATTATGATATAATGTATTTTAATTAAAGATTGTTTACATATAATTTGGATTTTTAATATAATTTATAACATTAAAGTAAATTGTAGGAATAGTAAAAGTATGGTGAAAGTAAGTTACTAGAAAGTAAATGTACAATAAAAGATAAATATGCAAAGAAAGTAAATTGCAACCTATTACCAAAGATAAAATATGAATTGATAAAGGAAATCAGTAAAAGTGACTATCCAAACTTGTAAAGAATTCCATTAAAAAATATTTGTCCCTTGTTTATAGTAGTCTTTTAGGATGTAAGTTTTTGTACCTTTTTTATATTTATTTCACCTTATTAATATTTTTTTTATATGTAACTACTAGAATAAAAATTGAATAAAAACAAAATAAAATAAAATGAAGTCAAACAAAATACACAAACTTGTAAAATAAAATCCACGAACAGTTACTTCATTATAACTGTCCTCCTTTTCGACCCACATTGTTTCGTATCACCCATTAATATGCATTTCTCATAATGAGATAATAACTGTCTCTGCATATCTCTTAATTGATTAACTTTATCTCGATATCTTATCTTTATCGATTTGCACCATTAGATTCGATATTTTCAACTTCTTAATCTTTGATATTGAACGGATCGTACCATATCAATTTAATTCCTCATCTATTTCTTTATCTTTTTTTCGACAACAAATTCCTTTGAACATTTTTTAAACATTAGTAACTTATACTTTCATCTATAAATTTCAATTTATCACATTAATCTTGACTGGATAATTCGTTTTGTCTCTGAATTCTAATTGACTCTATGTTGATCTCAATAGGCAATATAACATCATGTTCATAAACTAAATTATATGAAATTATTTTTATTTTATCAACGGATTCATAGTCTCTTTCAAGAAAGTGTTTCACTTTTATCTTCATTTTTATCTATATTTAAATTTATAATTTGGGTTATTATAGAAAAATATCAAGAGAGAAATAATTCAGAAGATAAGAGTAGACAAAATTTTGATTGGAAACTAAAATAAATAAAAAAAATACATTGTGTAGTTAGGTTTTAAGATGAAGGAGATGATACCTAAATTAAGGAGTTTTTTTTTTTTTTTTCATAATTTGCTTCTCCCACACCACCATTGTTGTTAGAAAAAATTGTTTCACACATCTTTTAACAAACATATTTCCTACAACCTTATTTAGTAATATAATAATAATTTTAAATTATTTTTATTATTATAAAATTTATTTATGCTTATTATAAAAATAAAAAGAGTTGTAGTTTGGATGTTTTTTGGTTGAAGGGTGTCAATATATCATCTTCCTAGTTTTGTTACATTAAGTAATAATGATCAGTCATGTATGTATAAGAGCTTTTTGACCAAACATCCCTTCGATATTTCAATTTAATAATATAATATTAATAATTATTAAAATTTTAATTTTAATTATTATTTTTATAATATTAAAATGGGTCCTCAATGATGTTTGAAAATAATATTTTTCTTAAGTAATTAATGGACATGGAGGCTAAATAATATAGGCAAGATGGGAAATATCAACATCGTAGGCATTTATGTATGGATGCTAATTATTCTTTTTGTAAAAAAATTAGTAAGACTTGTCACATAAATTATTTAGAGTCTCCCCATAAATAATTAATAAAAATTATGAAAAAATATTTTTAAAATTGAAATTAACTTGAATTTGATATTTTAAAAAGTATATATTATTATTATTGTGAAGTAGATTTAAGAACATGAAAAATAAAAATAAAAATAAACGAAAGAATGAAGTTGTTTTCAATTAAATGAAAAGAATGAAAGTAAAAAAAAATTATAATTAATTTGATAGGATAAAAGATATATATTAATTAGATAACATAATGAATTTAACAAAATATCCATCTTTAAAGTTTGATAGAAATGAATATAAATTAATGAAAGAATAAAATATTTTAGAAATAATAATAAAAAATATTTAAAACAAGTTAAATTATTAATTACAAATATATACAAATTTATTTCATATACTAAGGTAAAATTTAATTGCTAATATCTGCATTGGATAATGCCTTCTCGAGAATCGAAGAGACTCACTAGAATATGAAGAAGTTTTTCCTATAACACTTCTCCTTTGGTTACACATCAAAGAGACTCACTAGAATATAAACACTTGGAGACATCCTCATCTTGGCAATATGGAACTTGAAGAAGACAATACAATAAAGAGAGGTACAAGGGAGAACTTGGGCCTTAGGCCGAACCAAAAGGAGAGTTGCATCTTGTTCCATAGCATAGTCCCAGTGGCCAAGCCTTCTTCATAACTTAATTTCAACCACATACAAGTTATAAATCCAAGTTTATTAGTTCCAACTTTAGAGAGGTATCACATGTATAAATGCTTGACGCAAACGAAATTTAAAAGAGATGGGACTTGAAGGTGCTACACTTAAAAAAAAGGGACAAGGTTTAAATCTTGGTTACCACAAAAAGAGAATATATCATTTTTTCCTCTCGAATTTGGTCAAAGTACTCCAAACACTCAAGGAGGTTCAAGGTTCAAAACTCTTGGTTGCAATACTTGGAAGTTTTTTAGTATATAAACTCATAAATATTAAAAGTGGGCTAGGTGGGACTTGAAGCTAGGGATTTAGTCATCACTTGTATAAGGCCAAATTAGTCACACATCTCCTAGGTGAGTGAGTGAATGAGAGGGGAACAACTATATATGACCCCTTGTGTAGTTTTTTGAAACACATTTGAATGAAGTCAAAACTTGTGTATGGAACTTGCATATTTTACTTGAATTGAATTATCTTCAAGTGTTGACATATTATTGCTTGTCTTGGTCCACTTTGGTGTTTTTCTTTGTGCACATTAGTGGTTGTCTTCTTGGTGTACTATTACAACATGTTGTTGTTTGTCTTTGCCAACATTGGTGCTTTTAACATATTATACTACTTAGCTAAGTAGTATAATATGTTGAAAGCACATCCCAAAACCATATCCCTTTTAACTAAGTTGAATATAGAGTGATTCTAAGTTGAATCGATAACCCTCCAAGAACTTCTCATTCTTCCTTTTGATTCTAAGATACTCTTGGCATCTACACTGATAAAATTCAGTACTTACATGTCTAGATTAAGTCGAATGCAGGTGCTTCAAGTGATGTTATCATTCCCATTCACATTGGATCAAGATTGGGTTAAAACAGTCTAATCCCTGAGGAACAAGCATATAGCTGTACAATCATCAACCTTGAAACCATACTTACACCTCCAAGCCTTAACTGCACGCTTTACTAACAATTTGGCTGCCATGGACTTTTTTGGTGCGGAAACAACTATGTTCATTACTTCACTGTTTGTAAGCACATGCCATACCTGTAGGAAAGAGAATTTCGACCTTTTTGGTTAGGATAAATTTTGGGAAAATTGCTTTTTTTCTTATATTAATTGTCTAAAAGCTCCCATAGGAGAAGGACAAAACTAAATGCTATTATTTTTTCAAAATATGTTGAATTAAACATGTGGGAAAGTAAGTACTTTTAATTCATATTTCCTTGGTGATAATAATCATATCATGCTTTTGTTTTAAAATAATAATTTTCCCTGTATTTCTTTTTTGATAAGATATTTGTAAACAGTTTTGGATTGAGAAAGTACAAGAATTTAGCATAATTTAAATGCTAACTAGAAACAAGTATTCTGTAACTTATTATAAAAATAATTCAGATCCAAAGTTCAAAGTAGACATCTGCTATGACAAAACTTACCCCATCAGAAGCCAAAACCACGAACTCATCCTGCTTTGTAAGTTTTCTGTATGAAAGATCAGGGACTGAGGAGAGGCCACAGTCTTTTAGGCAAAAATTCCCGAAGGCTCTTGCCATAGCCAGTCCAGGGCGGCACCCATTTGGCCTCCATATTCTATTTACACCTGGATCTTCTTTTGCAGAAAAAATTCTACCTCCACAATTAATGATTCTTAAAGCTTCACCTGAGTGACATTGCAGAAGAAAATCAAGTTAGACACAGGACATTTGGAAGAGTTTCTGCTAAATTTAGTTGGATTTATAGAAATTAGCTTATGACACTAGCACAAAAAAAAGTTAATACGACGGTTGTAAACCATATTTTAGGTCGATCGAATAAGTTTCAATTAAGTTTTTATCTTATTTTTAGCTTATTTCACTAAGTTTTACAACCAAACTTAAAAAGAGGCTCTCATTTAATTTGATAAATTCTTAATGAGTAAGTCTTACACTAAACCATTAACCAAACTAACAGCATTTTAAGATTAGGAAACTTAAGATTTAGACTTAATAGCAAGACCTACTTGGAATATCTGGGGTCAAGTCAACAGTAAGTTGAACAGGAATAAGATGGTTGTCATGTGCTCTTCTACAAAGAACTGCACGAGAATCCCCCAAATTGCCAATTATTAATTTGTCACCCTGAAATTTTAAGTGTGAAAGAATGTGGTTACTTATAACATTCTTGCAAAGACAACATTGACAAGGAGGTAATGCAATTGAGAAGGTCTAAGTGTACCTGTTTGATAACAGTTACTGCAGTGCTACCGCCATCAAATCCTTTAGTATCTACCTCCTTAGCAAGGATTTCATCCATTTCACTAAAACACCTCATAAAGCTTCCCTCCCATGTCGAAAAGGACATGTTTTGGTTATCCTCAACATAGACGGCTTCACTATGACGGCTTCCATCTACATCAGTATCAATGTGTTTGATGACTTTTTCTTGTGACTGTTTGATTGATGAAGAGAGTATTAAGGGTAGTTTGTCACGTACACACTGTGAAAACTTATGTCCCAGAGGACCATGACCATCAAACACGCCACAAAAGATCATGTCCTTTTGCTCGGTGAAGTCCTAATAATGCATTATATTCACCATTAATCAAAGCCTTGTTCACAAAGAACCAGTATGTTTAAATTATTAAAAACCAAATAAAGTCACTATTCAATCACAGAGTAAAAGATGACTATTTTTTTAGGAGTGTAAAATAATGGTTATGAATGCTAGAAACATAGAGCTTTGCCATCTAAAGGGAGATGGTGATAGATGACCAAATTATAGCATATCATACATTGATGGCCAATGAAAAGGAATCTCGTATTATGAATGACAAATTATAGCATATCATGCAGTCTAAGTTCATGCCTAGAAATGAATCTTTGTCTTCATGCTAATATTCAATTGAAAATGCAAAGATGCTAAAAATATAGAGTAATCAATTAAGATAACGAACCAAAGAAAATAAATAGTAACAACCAATTCATATTTCTTGTTTAATGAACAAGAAATAAGTTTAAAATCATAGTAAATATTATATTTATAAGATTAAAAATTAGACATTTTAAATATACAAACTTAAAAGGAAAGCGTTCATAAATAAACTTTAAATTTTGTCTACTCTTCACTTCTTTAACAAATAGCAAACAAGATAATGATATGAAACAAAAACCAGTTAACACAAAGACGTATTACTGAGAAGAGAAACCATATATAGCGAGCACATTGATTCAAAACCATCAGAATTTAATTTTATATCTATAATTCACCTTCTAAAATGTCATTCTAACCTTATAAGAACGTTAAAGAAAACAATTCCAGCAAAATGATTGAAACGAAAATCGAAAATGAAGCCAAACCGCGAGCATATATACGTGAAAAATCTTACCTTCCAAACAGTGAATGCATCTTGATTAACTCCACTTGAACCCTTTTGGCTGTACATTGACACAAACTCAGAGGACCCTCCTAACATGACCCGGGTCCCACCATGTGCACGTGCACCATTATCATGCACCTTGCCTACAGATGAAACATGAGAACTGCAGCACCCTCCCATGATAATATCTCAAATGCTCAAGAACAATTTCCAAAGTATAAACTAAAGAGTGCCACAAGCTTTTTCAGAGAAAACAGGTAAAGAAAATTGCATTCAAAGGTTGGGTTTTTAGAACAAAGGATGCTTAAACCTTGAATTCGGATGAAAACAAAATGTTCGTGTTTTGTCCTTTTATCCTTAGTGGTTCAGAATGTAATAATTTGTATGAAGTTGTCACCGCGAACTTAATATGGATTATAAGCTAAGTAGTTGAACTGTCTCAATTCTAATTTAGATTAATATCTTAATCTATCCAATGTACCGTCTTTATTTGGAGATAATATCCGATTCAAAACTTACTTTTAACAACTATATTTTAATTGTTTTGGGTAGAAAATAATCCTAAACAGGAATCGTGAAAAAGAAAATATTTTCTTCGTTAACAAGTTAATAAGTCAACCTGTATTCTGATTGCTTTTATGATGTCATAGTAGTGATTTCTCATTCAAAATTCGATTATTCGAACCGATTTTTAATCTCAACAGGTTTATTTTGGTAAATAAAATAAGAGTAGATCCATTTGAATAATTAATATTTCTTTTAATATTATTTTATAAAAAAATCTATACGTGGTCCTATTTATCTTATTATGCAATTAGATTTAATATTTATCAACAATTTGCATAATAAAAAATCTATTAGATATCAAAATATTACCAAATTAATTTTTTTAATCAGATTAAAAAATAGAACAGATTTCTGCACCTAAGTTTTCTCTGATAATAGCTATACAAAATATATATATATATATATATATATATATATATATATATATATATATATATCAATAATGTGACCGTAATTAATCGTATTTCCTTCTCAAAAACTAAATCAATCTAACAAATCCAAAATATCTGTGCTAATAGCGCTACTCCCCTATCTATTTTTATTTGTCTCTCAAAAATTGGTTATAAAAAATTAAATAATTCTTTTTTACTCAAATAATATAAAGAATTTTATTTTACTCGATTTCTTCATTAAAGCTATATATATATATATATATATATATATATATATATATATATATATATATTAAAACATTCCGGGAAAACTACAGATATAATAAATAAATAAAATGAATGATATCTTAAATTTCGAAAATAGTATGATTATTTTTAAATTCGACAATTGAAAAGAGAAGTATTCAACAACAAAAAATATCAAACTCGTCACAAAGTATTTTCGCGAAAACAATTCATGAATCTCCAAGTCATGTTGGTAGCTTAAGCACAACTTTCAGATGCGACGTTCGTCAACCATGTAGAGTGCAATAATGTTGATACCAGAAGCAATCTAATGACATATTTAGTATCACTTCAGATTACCCCTGCCAAGTTTCTAATTTACAAGCTAATATATGACAAGAACAGTAATCATAAAGTGAGATTAAACAATGGACAAAGGTAATGGTGGACTGTACACTGAAATGATTTTACTCACGTATGTGTTACTATACTGGACACCGATGAACTACATGACGAATGGGGCAATTATCACAAAACACTACAACACAGAATTACAAAATTACAAATTGGATACTCGTGACTATATATCAAAAAATTATGACACCACAAATATACATGTGCTTATGCGAACGGGAGGCATGGGAAATTTCTTGATAGCATGGATCTGACTTGAACAGCGCTTGCAAGCTGAACTTGAGTCGTCTTCAGTGAAGCGAGTTCCGCCTCCGAGACATCGAAGCTAATCTGCATGCTAGTACAATTTTTCATGCATATATGTGTGAGGAAAGCAGGCTAAGCACAGGCTATATCCTATATGGAGTTCAGACTATCATATATGAACAAAGAGTAGGGTGAAGGATCTTGCATTTCAGGGAGATTTCCTATTCATTACATGAGAGCACGACTACATAGACCAGGTTCAAGACGGAACCAGAGTGTCAAAACATCTACCAGCCAAGAAAACTGCTCAGAGTAAATTCAAGAATCGCTCCAATCCGCATCGTCATCTTCATCACTTCCAGCCAAAGCCTATTTAAATAATTAAGATATTAGTAAACCTAAAGAAAGGGAGTAAAACCATTGAGACAGAAATAAAGAGAAGCACAAGCCTAATACAGTAAAAGAAACAGATAAAAAGAGAGACCTGGCGAATTGCATTTGCTTTCTCCAAGATGGCTGCAAGCTTCAAATTTGTTTTTGGACCTTGAATGCTAGGTCGTGTAGTCACAGCAGGCTTCAAGTTGAAGGACTGAGAACCAAAAAGTTTTTTTTTTTTTTAAATAAAACTTTTTCAGTACAAAAAGGGTGCAATCAGCATAAAGAAAGTAAGCTCTAACCTTTGTTCTTATCTGTTCTAGTAAAGAATCTCTTTCATCTACCTTCGGTGCAATTTGAGGCATGACCCGTTCAGTAACCCTTCTAAGCTGCAGTAGTTCAAAGGCAAAGTGTTATGCAAGAATGAAGATCTCAAAAGGATATTCAGCGTCATATAAGAACTTGAAACTGCCTCACCTTGCTTTTGTCATGAGCCGCAACAGCATCAATTAGAGGATTTCGAGGACGAGGAAGCTTATTCTTTGGTTTTCCATTTATCATTTCACTCTCAATATCTGAAGCATGATCAGGTGTATCCGAGGACGTTGCGACTCCCCCCTCATAGGGCAGGAAACTCTGATTAGGCTCCATCCTTTCCATGTTTGGTGGAGGCTTGAATGAGATAGGCAAACGTCCTTGTTCCCCTTCCAAATTACGGATAGACTCCTGAATGATGTTAACTTCAGAACTAGTTCCTGACATTAATTGACTAGGAGGTTGAATCGAGTTTTCTTGAGAAGAGATAGAATCATGTCCAAGCCCTGGAACAGCACATTCAACAGGTTGAATTGTTGGGTCTTGATTACAACTTCGTTCCATTTCTCCATCAGAAGCAACAATGTGACTGTGAGGACTGTCCATAGATAAACCATTAGTAACAGACAGCTGAAGTGTTTTATCATCTGAACTAGGCTCCATCATCAATTGATTTGGAGGTTGAAGCAGTTTTTCTTGAGGTGAAACGGACTCATGTCCAGAAATGGCACATTCAGCAGGTGAAACTGTAGGGCAAGGGTTTGAATTCAGTACAATTTCTCCCTCAGAAGCAACTGTATGACCATTTGGAGGCCTGTCCATAGATACCATATTAGTCATACTCTGTTGAAGTGATTTATCATCTGAAGTAGTCTCCACCATTAACTGATGCTGCATCAGTTTTTCCTCAGGAGCAACAATAAGATCATGAGGATGCATTGTTGTAGATGCCACTGGTAATGTTAAGAAGGGATTCTGAATTTGGTTTCTATCCAGCAATAGGTAATTATATTGACCTTTTGATTCATTAACCATGATAGGAAATTGAAAAGGTATAGCAACAGGATGCCCTGAAACACCAACAGGAAACCCAGAAGAAAGTTGGAGCTTATCACTTTCCACAGCCATGACAGGCAAAAATGGACTCTGATACAACGAGGTCTCTCTCTTAGAAGTTGGCAGACCAAATAGTAATTTTTTATCAGGCATAATTGGCTGAACTGAGGCCTGAGTTACTTCTAATTCTTCTCTTTGTGAAGCTAGGGAAGTATGTTGAATCTTTCCCATTCTCCATTGCATAGGTGGTAGAGGTGGCATAGGTGGCATCTCATCAAGATTATTTTCAGTTGCCTTTGGAAAGAGGTTAGGAAGAAGAGGCATCAATGGATCCATGGCATGTTTTGCAGCATTCTGGCTAAATGACTGTGGCAAGGAATAAAACGGTGATGGCTCATCTGCACGTATTTCTGATACACATTCAGAAGTAGTATGATTGCTTTCTTGCTCTAATTGATATATCTGCAACTGCTGATATTGAGATTTCTTAGAGGCAAAGTTTCTTTCATCTCTGGGTGGATATTCTGCATCCTGTTCACCAATTTGGGATTTTGAGTACAGATCTAAATCAATTTTAGGTTCCAACTGGTTACCAGAAGGTGATGAAAAACTATCTCTGCCATTTAGTAATGGATCATGCTGGCCATTAAATATTGATTCTGACTGCTGGGCATCCAACCCTGAAAATTCAGGCACCGTTTCTGCATCATCAACAAATGCACTATTATGGAACTTTTGAATATTACATGTTTCTGAATCTGGAAGATCACAAGGAACCGGTGTTTTCAGGTTCAATGGTGCATACACAGAAGCGCTTTCTGGTTGATCCACTATCTTCTGTTCCTCTAGTTCTGTCAAAAATTCTCCAGCAACTTTATCGTCAACTTCCATCTCTTTCTTCTGTGAATCTGAAAAAGTAGGAAGAGATTCTTCCAACTTTGTAATATTACTCATCGGAGAATTTATTACATCAGATGACGTTACATCGATCACTGGTGCCAATTGATCCTCATTCTTTTCTGCATTTGTGTCCATGGCAATTTGCGTGAATTCCACTTCATTGGATTTCAAGCCCATTTTATAAGAATGAGAATTCAACAGAGGTTCTTCCAAATCTGAAAGACCCCTTGAAGTAGAAATCTGACTTGAAACTTGACAAGTAACGACACCCACGCCATTTTCATTTTCAGCACTATCAACAGAAGGTATAGAATATACAGCTTGATCTTCTGACTGAACATTTTCACTGGCCAGATCATTTATCATCACATGATTATCAGGAGATGGATGTTTAAAATGACCATCACCTACAACTGGATCGACCCTGCAGGTTGATCCATTTATTTCATCTTCATGCACCACCATTGGTACCTCGTCAACTTCCAATGGCAGATCATAATTTGAAACTTCAATTATTCCTGAGCCTGGTTCCTCCTGAGTACTATTATGAATTGTGTCAAAGGATAGCTCTCCAGTAAAGTAGCACATTGGAGGAATCTTAACAACAGCAGTCTCTGAATTAAGTTGGGTTGCTGTAGTACAACCTTCACCTTTTGAGTCATCTGAATTCACTTTTAGTTCTTCTGTGGATGGGAAAACAGGATCCACTTCCGGTGAATCAATACCTCTATTAACCAAAATTTCGGAAGTGTTTTCATTGGTAGGTCCTGGTTGGAACATTTTTATTTCAGAATGAGAATTGCATTCATCTTCATGAGCAAATTCTAAATCATTAGAAACTTGTAACAAATCATCAGAGTGAATAAATGAATCATCAACATCCAAGTTGTCTATCTCTAATGATGTTTTATCAGAAGAATCCATGGGACAAGCATTGTCTTTTATTAGGGAGAGAGAAACAGATTTGGAAGTAACAGATTCAACAAGACCTGTTCTGTCTGCAACTTCATCACTTGTTTTGCTTGCATCATCATTATCATCAACATCTCTTGTTCTGCCGGCATCATCACCCTCTAATATTAAATTAAGTTCAACAGGGTCAGATGAGGTTCCATCTGATTGAGTTCCTGCAGTTAGGATCACTGGAGAGGTGGACCCAATATCAAAACACAAACCCTGTCCTGAAGTCGTCATATCGAAACAGGCTTGCCCCAAATCAGAAATCTCTTCTTCATTAACAGGTGCATCATCATGCATAACAGACCTCCCACAATCTGTGCGTTGAAACTCAACATTTTGAGGAAGCTGGTTGGATGGTGCATCTTCAACCACCGATTCATAATACTTAGCATTTGTGAATAATAAAGGTTCTGATTGTGTATTCTCAACCATGGCACTTAACAAATCAGAGTGAGGTACATAGGATCTGTTCTTCATGAAAAAATCATTTTCATATGATGTTGAAGAGTTTCCAACAGATCGATAATCTGAGAGGTGAGCTTCTGGTTCTATATACTGCCCATTTCTATCTTGTCTGAGTGAACTATTATTGTCTAATGAAGAGGATGTTTCGGTTGATTGAGAGTCTGACGACTTAGCTTGTACTTTAATCTGTTCTTCATTTCTATATTGTCTGAAAGAACTGCTGTCATCAGACATTGAAGAGTCCCCAAGTGATTGAGAATCTGAAAAATGAACTTGTAGTTGATGTTCTTCTTTTTCATTGGTATTTGTTTCCTTTTGAATATTCAAGAAACTATTCTTAGGTTTATACTCATTGTCTGTTTCCAATTCTGAGTCCATGGTAGTTAAAGCATCCATGTAGTTGTCAACTTCACTAGTCAAATCATCAGAATGATACCCATCTAAGCTGCCTTCTATTTTCTTTCGTTCATCAATAGCCATTTCTGCTTCATCAGGCAACTTACGATGATTAGAAGACATATTATCTGTCACACCAGCTGAGATTTGTTCTTTCACCTTCACATGATCTTCATCCGTCCCACCATCCATTTCTGAAAATGGTTTAAGTTCTAATTCCTGCTCATCAGGGGATGAATAGGTGTTTTTGTTTCCCTTTGACTTTTTCACAGGACTAATGCTACTAATTTCAAGAACTTTAATCCCAGCCTCACTAGTATCATCTGATGTCAATTTCACATGCAATGGCAAGATTGAAGTTTCACAAACTGTTTTTTGATCAGGTGAGGGAGTTTCCAGAAATTTCTCCATGTAACTCTGACCAGCCCTTGCTTCAACTGCGGGTCCATTCATTTGTCTTTTTTTCAACTTCACTAGTCGTGCAGGATTACTATAACCGTTTTCAATACGCTCCTCAAGAAGAAGCTGATGTAATCTGCATATGGAAATTAAATTGAGCCACCAAAGATTAAAAACCGTAATGAGAAGAATTAAACAATAAAATTATTGAAGCTTACTTTGAATGTGATGGTACAACACTAGGAGCTTCACCATCCCTCGGCCGTGCTCCTTTCTTCAGCTGGAAATGGATAAACCAATTATATATATATATATATATATATATATATATATATATATATATATATATATATATATATATATATATATATACACAGAAAATTGTAAGTATTCAATTTTACATGGCATAAAATTATTTGCTATGGTAATGACAGAGTAATGCAACCCGTTAAATAAACAAGAAAAAGCAGAGCTGAATATTGTCCGCCTGCCAGTATCATATGTCATACATGTATAAATCAAAGGCAGTGCATGGACCTAGAATAAATTACACATTTGTAGCAAAACAATGATACATAAGATGAAACCAATCAAGACCACACATTTAAAACAATTCTTTCTGGTCAGAAACTGTATATAAATGGTAGAATTGAAATTTTGTACCTTGACTTTACGAATTCTCTTCTCTCTCTGAACTTCTATTGTAGTATTTACAGATGAAGTTGATTCTATTTTAAAGAATGATGGATCAGTATAACGCTTTAGGCATGCCCCAGCCCCTGCTACATCAAACCTTCAAAGAAGCCAAAAAGAAAATATTCAAAAATTTATAACACAATTACTTTCTAATCATACGTCTGATGAATCAGCTCATACTTATCCAGAAGGAACAGTCTTGGAGGACCACGACATTCTTCATATGAATCCATTATAAATCGAGGTAAGTCTCCCCGAGTCACAAGATTTTGTTCAGTCCTTAGATTGGGATGCCAATCAATACCTGCAATGCAATATGCAAGTATGTTTAAATTAGCAAAGGGGCAATTACACCAAAATGTTACAACTAAGATTAACAGTATTTAAATCACGATGACAATGACAAGCTACACTAAATAGGATTCTGTAGAGAGACATCTAACCTCCATTAGTATAAAATGGTGAGTGATGAGTTTGAGAAAAGAAAGCCTTCTCAAGAGAAGGAACTTCAGCCTCAAGCTGCTTAACACGAGCCATAAGACCATGGCCTCTTGCAGCAGTAACCATTACTTCTTCATGTAAATCATGGAAGATCTCAGCCGCAAACCTAACCCAAATGAAATAGTTTACAGAGAAGTTAATGGCACCTAGGGGCAATCAAAATTGCATGTACTAAAGAGGCAGGAAACAACTTCAAAGTTCAGATATCCTATTACAATTGGAACTCCGCCAATTAGAACTAACCTCAAGGAAATAAAATAGACGATACAGAATGTCATTATGACATCTCTTACCATTTGCACACCAAGGGTTAGCTCAGGTGTTTGGCGTGCCTTTTGTAGCATATCTTAAAGTTAAGCCGTATACATACATAATTCAATACTCACTGAAGTAAAAACATAACAACCATGTTCAGAAACTCTTCTCAGTTATAGATGGTCTACTAAATTGCTCACGTCGTCCAATTTTAAAATACCAGCATATACCTAAAAATACCAAACAACAAAACATACTTCTTCAACAGCCAAATCTCTTTTGAACCCAATATGTACATTTCTCAAATTAAATCCCACACAGCCAAAACCTACCATCAGGAACTTCATTAATATTCCACAATCACTCCAACAAAATTCAAACCAAGTCAATCTCATCCCATCACCACCCTAAGCAATAAGTAGAAACTCTATGCCCACACAAGGTAACCTCAACACCTTCACAATTCCACAATTTAAACCAATCCCGGCACAACAACAGCCCAACTTCCTTTTAATTTAGCCCCCTTCAAAATTCTACACATATAAAGCTCAAAAGGAAAAAGGCCTAAAATTAGAAATAAACTAACTACACTAATTAACCATTTAATAACCAATAAACCATAACACAACCACCGAATTAAGCATCTATTCAATCTTCCAATTCCAAAACTAGCTCATCGATCCAGCGAGCTTAAGAAATCCAAAAACCAGAAAACCTTGCCAAATTAAGCTCACTGCAGCAAAAGCCCTAAAATATTCACTTGTTTTAATTTTTTGCTTTCCTTTTTCAAATTCGCAACTCGTTCAACTAAATGCATCCACTGAACATCAGAATTAAGAAACCAAAGAACTCAAAAAGAGATAAAAAAAAACGCAGAAGGAACGAAATAAGAAGAAACTGACTCGGCGAGATCGCCGAGCTGGCGCAAGAGTCCGACGAGACCGGCCATAGCGACGGCTTCAAGAAGCGCTTCGGGATCGTCCTTGTCGGCAGCACGGTACAGCTCGGGATCCGCCAAGCTGTACTCATTCCTCACGCGGTACTTGAAGAGCGGCATTTTTCTTCGTCTTCGTCTTCTTCTACAACAATTAATAAACCCTAGTTTTGGCGATCGATTTGCCTCGGCGCTTCGATCTTCTCTCTTCTTCTTCTTCTTCTTCCGGCGACTCTACGTCCGTGGTGTTCCACCATGGAAGGAGAGAGATAGAGTGATAGAAAAAGTGTCAGAATCTTCCTTTTATTTTGTTTTATTTTTGAATAATTGTTTTGGGGAAATGAAATGAATGAAGATACGGAGGTGGTGGGTGTGCGTGAGTCGTAGACGTGAAGAGAGTGACTAAGCAGGAGGAGCAGTGGACTCACTATCCATTGTTTAACCGAACCCAATTCAGATAAACTAACTTTCTTTCTTTTATTTAAGATGACATTGATATTTATCTTGAGATTATTTTTTTTAATCGTTTTTCTCAAAAAAAATATATTATATATAATAAGTAAAGAAAAAATTATATATATATATATATATTAAAAATTAAAAATAATTATATAAAAAATATATGAATATGCAAGGACTTTAACATCTATTTTTTCACTTGTAATTAATAATTCCTAATAAATTTTAATGTAAGTAAGTATGGATAGTGCCAATTTCCTTAAACGCATGAAATGAAAAAAAGCTTTTTTACTTAAAATTAATGCATTAAAAAAATCACAAGTTAACCGTATTAGTGGTATTATATTAGTAATATTTCATATAAAATTATATTAGTTATATTTCATATAAAATAATTATTAGCTTAATTACTTTTTCTATTATTAATAAATGTTAACCGATACAATTTTTCTTCTATCCAAATTGACTTAAATGGTTATATTAATTAGTAAAAATATTATTAATCGACACTAACTTACTAAGTCCATTTAAATAAAAGGTATGAAACTATATTAATTTAAAAGAAAAAAGACCAAATTATATCGATTTAAAATTGAGAGATCAAATTGAATTATATTATTAGTAATGGGATAGAATTAAATATAATAAGTAAAATAATGGGGAAAAAATAATTCAGTTATTTTTATCTTAAATTTTTTACACTTGATCTTAAAAAATTGTTTATACGCTTAGTCTACTGAAAAGTCATCAAATTAATAAATGTGATAGAAATTGAACCTCGATTATATTATTTTAAATATGAAATAAATTATATTATGCATTTTATATATTTTTAAACTATCTTACCAAATTAATTATTGTTCTTCACAATAGTTAATCAGCATAGTAAAAATAATTAAACAAGTAAAATAAGTTTTCAGTTCAGTGAATTAACCGTACTTATTTTATTTGTAAAAATTTAGAGAAGAATATAAATTAAAATATATTTTATAAAACAATTAATATATAAATTAATGTATTAAAAAAATCTCTTGTTAACTTTTAAAAAATATAATTTTTAATTTATATATAGGTTAATCAAATCTATAAATAAGTTTATACTTTTTATATTTTTCATGCCAATGTTTATAGAAAAGTTTATGTAATAATTCTTATTTTTAGTTTTTATAATATTTACAATACACATTATATACTCTTTTTTAATAAGTATACAGAATACATTTTAAAAGCATGGCTTGGTAGATACTCTAAACTTTAGTCGTGACCACTCTTGAAATTTATTTTTATTTTACATTTTTAATGAACCAATTTTGAATTTGCTCTGAATTTTCAACCGACACATTGATTATGAATATTGAATGCCTTAACCCCTATGTCACACACATGGATTTCTAAACAACACTAGGCCAATATTCCTTACTTCTTCATCAGCCGAAAATGGTGGTCAATTTTCTTAACTGATGTAATTTGATTTCATTATAAATCGTGTTTTGACATATTATTTTATATTGAAAAAGTTATATTTTAAAAGACTACTTTACTTTTTTTCAAATAAAAATAATATTCATGTAAGCACTTCTTTATATTAGTTTTTTTTTTAAGTCTTCCTTCAATCCACAATTTCAATAAAAAAATTATTTTTTTATTAAAATTGTCAACTTTAATTGAAGGTTTTCTTTAATATTAAAGTCATTAATGAATTTAGTTCATATATTTTTAATTAATTTTTTATTTTTACTTATTAAAAGTTTGATTTTAATATTTATTAAATTTATTAATTAATTATTATTTAGACGTTAATAATATTAAATATTTTTTAAATATATTAAATTATTAAAATGAAATATTAATATGTTAAGTAAAAAAATACACATTAAATAAAGGTATCACATGTATTAAAAGCTTAAACAAGTAAAAAAATATACTAAAAAAATTAATGCAAGAATTTGTTGATATTGCATTTTGACCTTTGTCTTCAAATGAGTACCGATAAAAAGTCTAATTCTTGTTATTATTATTATTATTATTATTATTATTATTATTATTATTATTATTATTATTATTGTTGTTGTTGTTGTTGTTGTTGTTGTGGTGGTGGTGGTGGTTGTTATTGTTGTTGTATGATGTTTGTATAGGTAAAGTGAGATAATAACAATTGATGGAAGTTGTTTGATTATGTATTATGTTGGTGTCATTGAAGTGGTGACAAACATATATGATGAAGATGGAAACACATTATTTGTGTAAAGGACTTGTCTAAACTAATATATGTGTGAAGGTAGATGAACCAGCTTATGGATATATGAATTGTGATGTGAATTGTTGAAAAGTTTGACGATTGTGTTATTGTGTTTAATGTTCTTGGGGTACATAAAAACATGTAAAATTAGTATTAATAAAAATATTATTATATATTTAATATATTATATTTACTTCATCATCTATATCATGTGATTGTTTAGGAGAAATATAGTATATTGTATGTTGTAAATATCCCTGCGTGTATTGCGTATTTTTATATAAACGATTGTATCATATATTGCATTCATATTAAATTCACTATAAAAGTTTTGGCTCTACTCTTGCAATGAAAATATAATTCAGTCAAATTTTTCTTAGAATCACATCACACGAGTTATATATAAAGGTAACATGTATATCTTGATGGGAAAAAATATCATGAAGATCACCGTCTTTATCCCCTAGAATTACCCTACTAATAGAGAAATAAGAGAAAAACAATCAACACAAAAATATAACGTTGAAACTCCAAAACCAGAGGAAAACCACGACCGTTATCTAATGATAACTAGAAAATAACACTATGTGAAAATTTTTATAACACATAGACAACTTTTCATGCCCTTTGACCCCAAGTACATCCACACTCTCTAAAGCAAGAATATTTAAACTAAACCTCACAACACTTTACTACAAAAATATAAGAAAAGTCAAATACAAGCTTAAAGTGTCTTTGAATGGGGTGAGAAATATCATGGAATTTAAGCCCATTATATAGCTACTATCACCCACTCCATTGTTTATTCAATGTGATGTGGGACTTTTCAAGATACATTATTGTCATCAACCTAACAATCTCCACCATGATTAAAATAAACACATCTTCTTTTTTATCTTCATTGCCTACACCAACAATCATTCATAGTTCACTATAAGGAGTATACTCACTTGAAATTAAACCATTCCAAGAATTTTCTTTCACCGCACACCTGCATCAATGCTACCTAACGATCGTGTGTAATCACCACACATCGTACATCAATATTAGTCAATGTCCGTGCATACTAGAATCAATGCTAACCAAGACTTGTGTATAATCACCATACACCCTTCATCAATATTAGCCAATGCCCTTGCACAATTACCGCTAGCAAAAAAGTTCACCCTTTTCCATGACAACGCAATTATTGATGGGAATTTTTAGGGTTTTGTATATATGTATTTCTGATATATCATGTGGGTATATTTCTATTCATGTACTCTCTGTACATATAGAGTAAAAATATTACAAAATATCAAATGTTAATAATATCTCAATCATAATTACTTAAATCAAAATAATAACCTAATATCTTTTTACCTTCTCTCTTAAAAGATAATAAAATCTCTTAATACCTAATTTAAACAAAAGATAATAAATTAATATTCTCAACATTCCTCCTTACTTTAATATATATTTATTTGAATTTGATATTTTTTTATTTTATTTTGTTTATAATTTTTCCTCCTTTTTTGTTTGTACTTCTTGTCATCTTCTTTCTTGTATGAGATCACATCTTCATTCAACTTCATTTTTTTTTATCAAAGTATTTCTTCCTTTATCAACTTTATTTCCTTTGTTTCTTTCAAATTTCTTCATGGTAGTACCGTTGACTTTTTTATGGACGTTGAAAACGATTTTTTCATCTACATCTTTATCATCAAGTTCCTTCAAGAAAATTTCTTCATGCTTTTTCTTTTACTTTTCTTTTATATCTTCGTTTGTAATCAACTCTTCTTTCATCAAATCTAAAGTGAAACTTTTTCCTTTCATGTGAACTTTGAATATTTCCAAGTTATTTGTATATTTAATCACACAAAATTTGTGTTCAAAAGATACCTTATAACTTTTCTCCAATAATTGAGCAACACTTAACAAATTATGATTAATATCAGGAACATATAAAACATCAAAAATTAATTTGATACCCGAATGACTTTTAATTGCAATTGTTCTCATACCTTTCACATCCATTTGTTCTCCATTACCGATTCTCACTTTAGAAATATGTGATTTGTTGAGCTATTTGAAAAATTATCTATCATGAGTCATGTGGTTTATACAACCACTGTTTATAGGATTTGTTGATTGTAGAGAATATTGATGCAAGGAGAAGTTCTCATTCTACTCCATCCTCTATAACTTGAAGAAGTTCCCCTTCTACTTCATCCTCTATAATCTTGACAGCTTCTTCTGGTTGTGATTTATATATCTTTTCTATATGTCCCAATTGACCACATTTTCGATATTTCACATCAGGCATCCACCAACACTGGATGTGTGATTATTTTTCTTGCAATAAGGACAAACAGAAAAGACTCGTGATTTTGTACCTTTGTTGTTCTTGGCTTGGAGAGAACCTCCATCATGATATAGTAAAGAA